AAATTTGTAGGAGGAGAGAAGAATGTCTGACCCCTCTGAGAAGATTCTGTGTTTTCAGTTCTACCTTGCTGCGTTTGGCAGATGCTGCCAGTGTTTGCAGACTTGGTGAAAGGAGGTGTGGGTTTAGTAAGGCATTTCAGAAAGGCATTCAGTTCTTGCCTCTAGACCTGTGATTTGTACATCAAGTTGATTCAGGTGCTCGATTAGGTTGAAAATAGGGACAACATAAGCTCGAAGATCATGTTGTGCTTGCTGTAACAGTTCTAAATTTTAGTAATTAGTCAGTCTTTTGAATGGAGCTTCTTAAAAACTGCTATTGTGTATGCAAGCTCTCTCCAGCAGTGACTGTTTTTGATGCTCTATTGTTTGGGATGACCCCTGAGCTGAACTCTCTGAAACTCAAATGTCTAATGTTCTTCATCAGGCCATGGTCTATAGATCCATTACAATGGAGCCGGAGCCTGCCTACAGCTTGGGAGCAAACCCAGACCTGTCTGTCACTGGCAGGAGGGGAATGCCACAAGCGCTTCAGCTCTGCTCGTGTCATTCTGCTTTGATAGTGGCAGGCAGGCTTCAAACAGATCTCCTGCCTGCGAGAGAGGGACTTAGCAAAAAGCAGAAAAACTTGCTTTAGCTTAGCTGAAAATTTGTTTCAGTGTCTCTGTTCTGTTACCAAGGTTTCTGTGTTTTTCTTACTTTGTTTTCTCCTCTTATGCACATTATTATTTTCCCACTTGCAGGCTTCATGGATTTGGGGTGAGAAAGCAGAAGGATGTAATTTCCATTGCTACCTTCCCTTTGTTAAGGAACCTTTCCCTCTGTCAGATCTCAAGCAGATAGAAAGTTGTATCGGATTGAAAAGCCCCATTCATAGACTGAAAGGTGCACACACTTTTTGTGTAGTCCAAGCCCATCTTGGGCTGAGTGTTTGTGCACACATCTTATTTGCTTGTGTGTCCTGTCCTCACGCCCTTTGTGAAACTCTGAGAAACAAAAAAGTGGGTGAATTGGCAGCTCTAACAGACACAGTGTTGCAGTTAAGTCTTAACAGGCTTAGTAGCAGCCACAGCTCTGTCTGTAAAATTTATCTTCCTACTTCATCTCGAAATGGGCAGGTCAAGAGACCGCCCAAGTGAGTGTCTTTGATGTTACATATACTGCAGACTATTCTCTGAAAAGCTTCCTGCTATTTTCTCAGTGTAAGAAAGACGAGAGAAAACTGCACGCACTTGAGCTGTGCTGGGCGCTGGTCTTTCACAGATTCTCTTTGCAGCCTTTACGTCTTCTGTGAGGGACAGAACTTGCTAAGTGAGACAGAAACTAATTCTAGATATCTTAGTACTGGGAGGCACCTGATCACCTGAAATATGTTGGTTCTGGAGGCACAGAAGAGGAAACAAAAAAAAATGTATGTCACATTTTTATTTAACAGATTATTACTAGAGAAGGAATGGCTAGGGCAGGTGTTCCTAGAAGGATGAAGAGCATTTTGTCTCAAATATTAAGCTGTTATTGCTCGACTGGATTTGAGTTATATTTTCCCCCATTTTTAGACAGGATTTGGAATAGGTTATAGAATCATAGTTCAGTGTATCACTTCATTCTCATTTTCCAAATTCTATATGCTACTAGTTGGTTTAAGTGCTATGAGCAGCCTTTTTTTATTCCAGTTCCTCTGATACAAAATTTTGATACCGTGTTAATCTCTTGGCCCTTAGCAAACACTTAGGCTATTAAACCCAAACCCAGCAAACATTTAAACAGCAATAACTAAATTAGCTTATTACTGGTTTCTTATGTCATTAATAACCCTACTTGTCACGATAGCTTTTGCTGGGATCAGTTGACTTTTACATATTTTTCTCCAGAAGAAAGTAGGATAGCTTATAAAAAACCACAAAGCCTAAGCATTTGATTCCTTAGGCTGTAAAATTGGAGGCCTGTGATTTTGTATCAAAGTATGTTGCACTGCACTGGCAGTGGGAACTAAATTGTCATGCTTTTGGTTGATAATTTTCAGGGTTTTTTTTTATCTCTTCTTAGAGGAATTAAGTGGATTTCAGGCCTGTGGAACGGAGAAACCACAAACACGCACCTGTATGAGGGTACACTTCTCCCCTGCCCCAACATGCTTTCACAGAACTTGTTCAGGGTTATGTTTTCTCATTTCTTTCCAGCTTCAGACCAGACAGTAAACCCAGGGAACTGTTCAATACCCCTCATACTCTGCCCTGTGGTCAGCAGCACCACACATCCTCTCAGTCAGAAGTCTGCTTGTACTGTTTGTGGGGTGTGCGAGAGCAGACCTAATGGTGGCTGTGGGTGTAGAAGCTCCTGCTGACTGGAAATAGCCTTGAAGCTTGAACTCCTCCTTGAAAGTGTTTGGGAAGCAGTTTCCTTTGCTACCTTTCAGCTGTGGGAAAGGCAGGGTTATTTATGGACCTGAGCTGGTATGAGGCAGCTGTTGCACGAGTGCTGTGTGTGCAGTGCTTTGCCATCCTTGGCTAAGCAGCTTCCTGTCGGGACCACTGATCCGTGTAACAGCACTGTCTGTGGCAGAAGTGGTTGGGCTTTGTGCCATTCTGTGTGTCCAGACCAACTTCCAAGTGTGATTTTAAGAAAGCTGTATTTGGATAGCTTAAACTGAGGGGCAGGTGAGGTGGTGGCACAATTAACTATAATTAATTACTCAAATTTTCTGTCATCATGGGTAAATTTTGCTTTCACAATGCAGTTTTACAGGCTTTATTTTTGGGGATTATTTTTTGGCCTGGGCATCTGTTGAGGAAGGAGAAGATGTCAGTCCCATAATTGCATCTATTATAAACCTGGCACCGTGGAAAAATTAGGATTACTTGCAACAGGTTTTGCAGATAAAGCTGCTGACAATTTGCTACGGGGATCCTAAAATGCTGTTACAGTACATGTAGTTAGTGCCTCTTAATGCTGTTGGAGCTGGGAGCTTCAGCTCAGGGCCAGTGGAATACTTGTTTACTTGCTAGTGACAGGTTGGGAGGTTGTATGTCATTTAAAAAATCAAGATTACTGGGGAGGGAAGGGAGACATGGGGAAGAATCATGGGAAGCTCTGTGTATTCAGGGTGTAGAAAAGGGAAGAAAGTAAAATTAATGGGCACATGGAAATTTGGTGTGTAGCAGCAAATAGCCTGTTAAATAGTGAATAGTATTACTTCAGTGGATAGGAGCTATGCCTTCTAAATTCTTAGACCTTGTTAGAAATTGGGAGGGGGTCATGTGGTGTTTGTGTAGCATTTAGGAGCTATGCATTTGATACACCTTCATTAAAGCAAAAAGGTGTTCAAAAGGTATCTGACATTTTCTTTTTAACTTGTGAGACAAAGGCCTAAAATAGTTGGTCAGTTTTAATAGCAGATTTTGTAGCAAATGAGCTGGAAGATGATTTTTAAGGGTTCTGTGTTTGGAATATGTTATAATATATGATACCACCATATATGGTGGTATCTCTTGAGATAAATGTTTGTTCATCAAACCAAATTACTCAGGGTAGTTAAAACTAAAGCTTATAATTGGGAGCATTGCTGAAGGGAATCTCTTATTTAGACTAAGGCAAGTCACTTCTTATTGATAAATACACTGGAATCTACATGGTGGTTGAGAATGGGAAATCTAAACAAAGCAAATATCTGTGATTATTTCAAAATCTATCACAGAAAAAACCTTCTAGCATTGTAGTGATTCAGAAAGATACAGATAATGTGAGAAATACAGCAGAAGAGCAAACATGCTAATGATGTCTTCAGATTTTGACTAATGGTGTTTTTTCTTTCGTTCATCTGTGTGTAATAGAACAATAATGGGCATGTAAACAGTGATGGTAAAAAGAAGGAACAGCACCTGTACCTTAAAAGCAGAATGGTTTAACATATTCCAGTTGTACTGGGAGGATCTGGTGGAGGCTCTCCAAGATGTTTAGGGTGCTGAAGCAAATCCAGAACATGGAGAGGCCGAGTGCTTGTGTTCCTTCAGTTTTTGGAGGAGGAGGACAGTGTTTTTCTGTGTTCTGTGATCTGATAGGGAGGTTTAACAATGGAGCAGGCAGAGTCATCTCAGCCCTGCAGCTGCCAAGAGACAGAAGTTGCAGCACTGGAAATTCTGATGAGATGTTGGGAAACTTCCCCCCTCCCCCAGAACAAGGTTAGTCAGCCATTGAGAAAATTGTTCAGAAAGGTAGCAGAAATCCCAGCCTTTGAACACACCCATTAACAACGCCACTGGACAAGACCACAGGCAAGCTGATGTCACTCGTTCCTGTTCTTTGAGGTTGTGTCAAAGATGAGCTGTTCTGTAATGTTGTGACTTTGTGGAAGACAAAAACTTAAAGGCCCTCATGGCAACTGAGCAGGTTAACAAGATAAAAAAAGGTGTATCAATATATATTTAATGAGGAAGAATGCCTTTTGCGTATATAGAGAAAGAGCATGATCTCTAAGTTTTTTCTGATCTGGTTTGATGCTTGTCTCTATATCTGCCAGGGTACAGAGCTGAAAGGCTGATGGAAGGGACCCCTGCTGGCCGCAGTTTTCCTCTGCCAATTCTGGCTTCTCTGGAAACATTTTGCAAGACCAAAACAAACAGCATTAGTGTAGACCACGCACACGAGGGACGCCATGCTGGGGCCATGTGGGAGTGCCTTAAACCCTATGTAGAACTGAAGTGCTGTATTCTTTTTAAGGCTCTAGTGTTGGCAGGAGACGTTGGACTCAATATATTCAGGATTTTCTATTCCTCCCTTTTGTTCCCAGTATCCAGAAGAAGTTACACTGTTGAGTAACAGCTGTTTCCTAACTGTACATTTATTAATAAAGCAATGAACCACAATAAATAATAAATATGTGCAAGGTTTTATTTTCAACCTGTCTAAATATATCTGAAACAAAAGCACTGCGGTTTCGATTTGCTCTGTTAACGTGCAACAAATGCAACCTTTGATTAGTTTTGGGTTTTTTTTTTGTCTTGCAGCATAAGCAGCACTATCATGGATGTAGACAGCACAATTTCCAGTGGGCGTTCCACGCCAGTCATGATGAATGGACAGGGAGTTCCTGCCTCCTCTGCCAAAAGCATTGCCTATAACTGTTGTTGGGATCACTGCCACGCCTGCTTCAGCTCCAGCCCGGATTTGGCGGATCACATTCGCTCCATACATGTGGATGGTCAGCGAGGAGGGGTTGGTGTTACTTTTGGGTTTTCCTTCTTTCTTATTTGCCAATATTTTGTTCTTGTGTTTCAAAATTCCTTTTTTCTAGCTGGTGGCAGCAAAGCTAGTGGCCTAACTTTAAGAATGTAGTCAGCTCTTTTCAATAAATTATTTAAGATTACCAGGGTTTTGATAGTGTGTTGATTTCTCAACATCCCGAAGCTACTGCTTACACTTGGAATTAATTTTCTTAAAACTCTTAGTGTACGTGTTCCTGCATGTGAACTCAGGTGAAGTCACATCTTAATTACTGTTACCAAAGGAGTCTCACTTACAGCTAAAATCCATCCAGAATGTATAATAGGGAAGATGTAAGACTGACTCAAGAGTACAAAGTCTTAACAAAACAGCTCTGTGTGCAATACTGATGGCAAGTTTGCCGTCTATATAATTACATCTAATTTTATTTTTTAAACTGAGTTGCATATATAAACATGTAAATTCCAGTCTAATCCCTGGTCAAATGATAATTGGTCTCTCAATTTTAATGTTTAAAAACATCTTCTAGTAGAGTAATTTCAACTTTGTACTTAACTACCTTCCATCTTAAGCTCCCAAATTACCTGTGATGTCTGGAATATATCATGTAAACTACCTTTACATCCAGCACAAGCAATCTGCCTGCTTAAGGCACTGTGTGCTGCAGCTCTTCAATTTCTGGGAGAAATAATATCAATTCTCAAAGTAGAATAGTTGTTGTCTTTTGACTTTTGCCCTATCAGTTCTACAGAAGGAAAATGTTAGGCCGTTGCACTTTATCTTCAGCGGATAAGAAACTTAAATAAAAGGCTAATTTGCATTATGTAAAATAATTTATTATGTAAATATGTCACTGAGACAGCTGTGACTCTGGCTGTATTAAGGTAATATTTTTTGTAATTATTGAACTTTTCAGCTTCATATTTGATGGCTTTTTTCAGTCCAGTATCTGAGCAGAATCATCCATCTAGTGCAGTGGCTTTTTAGCCACTCATGAGATGATTTCTGAGTTCTGTCCACAGGTGTATAAAGGTGTTACATGAAACCTGCATGAAACAGTGAAATGAATAAGGTGTGTTTGGATCTTTCTTATCCCATCCATGACTCCTTTACATTTCTTAAAAAGGGGCTGGAAGATTCTGCAGATTTTGGTTGAGTTTCCTCCTCCCCCCCCGCCCACGTATTTTGTTTCTTGTCACATTTTATGTGACATGATTCATGGATATTTTTCTTTAGAAAATATTGGACTGTATTTGTGTATTTGAAAGAGGAGGTTGTTGGAAGCACGAAGTGTCTAATAAGTGATGCATTGAGTTCACACTTCTGAATGCCCTTACTGGAGTTTATTTTTTGGGAAGTTCCAAGGCGGTGCTGTGGAAGGGGGATGCATCCTGGCGGGTTTGTTTCAGGGATTGGTCTGCCACCTGCCGGTGAGGTGTTCAAGTGTGTTGGAAATTGTCTCGTGCTTTTGATGGAATTTCAGACTTACTTAACTGCCATGGCTCAAAATTTGAAGAAAAGTGGGGGTTAAGTAGTTATTGAGAATGGAAAGGAATATGGAAAGGAATAGGATTAACATCTTTGCATGGTAAAATCTATTTTTTCCAACTAATACTGAGGTCATGGTTCCAGTGCAAACCAGATACATTCATGAAGAGCTTGGGAAGCTTTTGACAAAACCGTTTTGCTTTTGAAAGATGTTAGTTCAGAAATATTTTGGGTTCAGCTTTTTGGCAGGGATTCGCAAGAAGCCATGTCTAGACTTCTGATGTGTAGTTACAAACCCAAATCCTTCCCCCATCTGTAAGTTCCCAGTAACATCTTTGCCAGGTGCCCTGCAGTCTGCAGTGGCAGCTGGAAATGCCAGCACACTTATGGAGCTGTTGCAGAACCAGAAATGTCAGAAATTTCAGTTCTATGGCTTTGAGGGGATCTCAAAACTGAGGAGTGGCAGACCCCAAAGGTTTAGGGGCTTGGGCCTCGTGTCAGTAGGTCTGGATCAGTCACACAGACACTGAGGGGTTTCCAGCTTTGTCTGAGTAAAGCTGGGTTATGTGTGTATTGTACAGCAAGAACGTAGAACTCCCGTGGCTGCTTTTTTATTTTGAAAATAAAATCTTTTGAAGGTTGAGGGGGTTTTATTGTCCAAAAGAGAACAAGAAACTGAAATCCAATTAGTTTCCTGCATTTCTGAAAACCTGTGTTATTAACAGTGCTGTTCCTGGGAACTTTCTTTTGCTTCAACAAATTAGGGCTTTACCTCCCTTCACCCACAGACCTGTTGAGGAAATTCTAATGAAAGGCATTTTCATTGAGCTTTTATTCCCTCAGTTACAGATAAACACAATGAGAGGAGAGAGAAAAGCAGCATGAGCGAGTTCTGCTCCTCTTAATGCACTATTGTGCATGTGATTGTTCTGTACACTGGAATTACAAAACACCCATAGATTTTGAATCCTATGAGAAATGGTAGCTTCCTTCATCAGGAATTGAATGTAAGACCCTAACTGGAGGTATCTGGTATTCCAGAATACAAAACTCCAGTATATAGACTGCATTGCAACTAAGAGTTTTTATTTTTTCATGCTCAAATAATACAATTAATTGCTTATGAAAGCAAATAATTTTACTTTATAACTTAACTCCTACCCAGAAAATGCAATTTTTTCATTTAAAAATGTTCTGTCTCCATATCTGGTGGATACAGATACTGAGTGGAAACACAAATACAGCAGATCCTGTTGCTCTCGATTGTCTTTATCTGCAGGAGCATCTGTCTGTTGGTATTTTTTTCTAGTGACCTGTTTTTATTAAATACTTAGGGTTGTAATTATTTTTTCCTTGGTGAGATATGAGAAGTGTGTTTCAAAAGAAATAGTTATTGTTCAGAATTCTTTGAAGTGTTGTGAGATGTCAAAACAGCCTTCTTTACTAATGTGATTTTTATTTACTGTTCTCTCTGACTTGTGTAAACTTATCACGTTTTTACTCTATTAGGTGTTTGTTTGCTTGTGGAAAGGTTGCAAAGTATATAATACACCTTCAACAAGTCAAAGTTGGTTGCAGAGGCATATGCTGACACATAGTGGGGACAAACCTTTCAAGGTAAGGCTCATTGTAACATATATTATCTCTCATTTTTAGAAAAATTCTCTTTGTTTTTCCTAATGCAATATGTCAATTGAAAAATATCATCGCTGGAGGATTTCTTAAAAAGTGAGCTGAGCTTTCTTCTTTGCAGTAATAGTGCCCAAAGGTCCTGTTTTACAAAATCAGGTGAAGAAACTCTTATTGCTTTGCTATCCCTGTTTCTTTTAATCTATAAATGGCAGGGAGTGTAAAAGTAAATAGTGCTAAAGCTCAGGGGGTTTGTGCATTTTGAGGTTGAGCTGCTTACACTGTAACAGTGAGATATTTTTTCCTCATACTTTACACTTCCACATTGAGTTTCAGATGATGGCTGATGGTGCACATTCCATGCTTGAGTAAGAGCTGCTTTTGTTAAATTCAATAGAAGCACTGGCAGTGACTATTTATGGTTCACTACTCTGAACAGAATAAGGAAGTCAGGAATGCAGGACCATTGACCTGACTGTATTTCCTGCACGGTATTTTCTAACTTTCTCTTTCTTTCTCCCCTTAATCTGTACCTGCAATTCTAGGTATAGTAGTGTTTATCATTCCCATATCCACCAATCCGTTATTAATGAGTTGCTTCATCCTCTTATGGATACAGTTGGGGCAGTTCATAGCTGTCAGTCCTGGATCACTTGATGGTAAGTCCCACCCACACTACTTCAGACTGAAGTTCTTCCATGTAGGATATGAAAATGAAATAGGATTTGGGGTTTTTTTTGAGTTTAGGTAGCATTTTATGCCTCCTTCTCTCCCACCCCCAACCCCACCAAGTTTTAGTCCCTTGTCTTCCCTCTCCTCTTTCTCCTCAGGTAATATCTTCCACTTCTTAAAAAATTTATTTTAAGGCAGCTTCATTACTAAAAATACTTTTCTGTTACAGGAGTGTCTTTCCGTAGTTACATTTTCTGTATAGGTTTTAATAATAGTTATGACAGAAAACAAAACTAAATTAAATTCAAAACCAAGAGGGTAAAAATAGTGCATTGCATGTGAAAAAGATTTTATTTTAACAAACAGATTTTTTTCCATACTGAACTGTGTAGTTTAGACTGAAAATTTCTCACTCAAAGTAACCACAGGAAAATGAGTTTTAAGGTTATCACACCCTGTGTTTGAAGGAGTAAGTTTAGCATGCTCTTGGAAGGATAGCATAAGGATCATAGGTCCCTGGAAGTTTGCAGATATGGTTGTTCCAGGAGCTGATCTAATCTTAAATCCTAATCTCTGATTATTAATAATAATAGTAGTAGTAGTAAAGAAAATAACCCCCAGTTACCAGAGGACACTTGTACCTTAGGTTTTCTCTATTTTGGAATTAAATATTTTGTCTACCTCAAAGTGTAATGGCAAGCTTTGTTCTTGGATGAAAGTCTTTTAATAGCTTAATCTGTGTTCTTATTTGGTCTAGATCAAATAAACTCAGTTTTAGAGACACTGTGTTGAAGAGGTGGGCATAGCTCAGAAACACCAGTAGTACTTTTGAGTCTGTCAGGGTTACCTAGCAAAGGCAGTTGGTATCCTCATTTTTTTGGCTAGGCTGATTACTAGCTAGAGCCCTAAAATTGTCAACATTTGTTTCTGATAATAATCATCTTGTGTTCAATATCTGTTGTTTCACCAGCTGATTTTCTGTACTTTCTGGTCCTACTGAGGGAGAGAACAAAACATTCAAGGGTTGCGGTAGTTAATCATCCTGGCTCAATGTGTGTCACTGCAGCATTTTTTCATGCTGTTGTCTCTAGTCCCACTGTTTGTTTTTTATCCCTGTATTTCTCAATCTGTTCCCGGGAGCTTTGAATGGAGGATAATTGTGGTCTGAGTAGAATTTTGTAACATCTTTTGTTCCCCTGTCATTTATGCTGAAATAAGCTTCAGGGCTCACATGAGGTAGCCAAGTATGTGAGTGTCTGTGATGGCAATCTATTAATTAACTGGCTCCTTTCCTTCATTTGCTGCTTCTATTTTTTTAATGCTGACTTTAGAAATCTACTCTCTTAGACAAAAAACACTTGAAGGGTTGGGTATTAGTCTTGACCAGTCCAAGAACAGCCTTTTATTGATCGTTTTGTGGCAGCCAGTCAAAAATGGAGCCAATGTGTCCATTTTGTGCATTTAGCTTCTATCATAAATCTTAATTGCTTGCCTTTCAGGGAGAGTCAGATTTTTTTGAAGTCAGAGTTGGTTTAAAGACCGGTTCTTGATAATTCCTGCAGACAAAATATCTCCCTAAACCTAAATTGCAGATGAAACTTCAGTTGCCTCATGAGAATATACTTGAGTTCTAACATAAAAGGAAGGAATCTGTCACTTTAGAAAACTTGCAGAAAGTAGTCATGCAGTGTTTTGGTTATAGAATAATGTTGGGATTTTTGAGGAAAGCTGTAAGAAGCAGTAGTGGAAACAGTACAGCTCTATGCTGTTGTCTGAAAAACTGCTATTTAGAATGTTTTAAAGTAAAACAAAGAATCTTAGCTAGGAAAATGAGAACTAAAAGTGTGGAAATCTTACTTTTGGAAAGGTAAATCAAACAGTGACCAGAAGAGAGTAATAAGTATACCACAGTTTGATATATTCTTACATTTCTAATGAAAAGAAGAGAGAAATGTAGCTTCTTAAATTGAAAAGCATTGGGGACTGTCTCAATCATAACTCACTTTTGCATATATATCCCTGTCCAGCTCCCCTTTTGCTTGCAAATTGACTCATTTTATGTAGTTGCACATTTTGGGTTTAATTATCCCTTTTTGTGATACACATGGAGTTGTCCTTTGACTAAAAGCTCCATTCAGCTCTAAATGAGCTGTTCTGCTTTCCTATTGAAAGGTCATTGTGGGTTTTACCTGCTCTTTCCATTCATTCCTATCAACCATGTGACTGCAGTTCATTTGACACAGAAATAAATCCAATTCTAAAGTGCAAAGGCAAAATGGTTCATATTTTCATAAGTTTATATTTTTTTGCCTGGTTGTGTGGCTTAGTGTGTCCCTCTCATCATGAGTATTGTAGTACCTGTGTCACAGAAAAGGTGAATTTCCTTATGGATACCTATTTTTTTGAGACTATTGTTCTGTTAGCTCCTTTTTTCTGTGGGGCAATATCTTGGTAGTGTACATCCAGCTCCTCAATGAGTCATTTTCTTCACAGTCTGATTTACCCAGTTCTTCTCATATTTTTTTTGTCATTGTAGACATTCATTGAATATAGGTATTCTCTCCGAAGATGTTTAGTATGCTCATTTTGTGTATGATTTTACAGACAGAATTGAGAGAGTAAACCCTCAACTTTATTCTTTTTTAGATCTCTTACTGCACAATTTTGCAGCTTCTTAGAAACCAGTGGAATATTCTGGATTATCATCAGCATGCAGGGCTGGTTGAGGGTTCAGCAACTTGGCTTTCAGACTTTATAGACAGAATGTAAAGGAATAATCTGCTGAGTCAGAAAACATCCTGGTTTCAACAAACTGCCCTTGGCAAGTTGAAAAGAACTGAATAATAAGATATTCTATCTTTCTTGTCCTAAACTTTGCTGTTACGTGTATTAAGTATGGGAATAGTTAAAGGAGTTGTGACAACCTGCGTTTTCCAGCAGGGTTTCTGGTGTGCAGGGGCAAAATTAAATTAATCAAGTGTTACTTGGCACTGAAGGTTACTTGAAGACACATCGAATGAGCTCTTAGATGTTGAGCACAATGAAAGGGCAAAAGCACGAAATAGTGGGAGATTTTATGCAAAATTATTGCATCAAATAGTAATAAAAATTAATAAAGTAATAATTCTATATAGCATTAGGATTGGGGTTGATGATCTCAAAGGTCTCTTCCAACCTAAATGAATCTATAAGGATGCATGTGGGAGTGCTAGCAGCTGCTTTCACCCATGGATTCCAGTGGATGTGCTCTTCATGTTCAAGAGCAGTCATGCAAGGTTTGCTCCTGTGGGGTAAATGTTTCTATTGACAATGTATGGTAGCGCACAGGTTTACTGCAGGCTTCCCCTTAAAACAGGGGAAGAAAGTAGTATTAAAAATGAAGTTTAGTGCTCCCTGTAACTTCCAGAATTCATGAAGGGGTGACTGCATTTGATACAACTCTCAGTAGAGTAATGCTTGGTGAAATGCAGAAAACACAGGCAAGCAGCTCCAGTCTTCATTGGCAATTCATGTCTGTTACTCTCTTGGCAGATTATTTTCTGTCCATTAGAGCGTTGCAGATGTAAAATGTAAAGGCACTCTGCCCAAACACTCAGATGTTGAGACAATAAGAAAGTTTATCCAGATGTCTAAACTATTTCTGTTAGATTTACTAGAAAAAAACAACATGTTGAATAACCCAAATAGGAGATCTGATTATTTTGAATTTAGAACAAAAACCTGCATCGCTAGATACTTTTATATCCTGTTTGTTAAAGTCACTGGTCATTACTGCCCATTAATAATGGTGGGTATGGGTACACTGGAGAAATTAAACTTCTTACATGTTTACTTACTTTCTCTTGAAGTAACATATCCACCAATCCGGACCCAATCTGTTGTATTTGAAATTCAATGCAAAATTTTGAGATTTAGGTTTTGGGGGAAAAAAATGAAAAGATTGGTTCAAAGTTGTGCATAATAGTTGAGTTTGATTTATTAGAAGCCCTCTAGAGCTATATAATTATCTGGTGGGAAGCTGATTTGGTGTGACTTACCGTCCAGAGATCCTGAAGTGACAGCCTGAACTGCTCCTTTTTCTTTGGAGAGAAGAGACTTTGCCCATTAGTAACGGATTGCTGGATATATTATTTTAGAGAAAAAAAGGAACAAACAGGTAAGATTTTTTCATTCTCCTCTTCTACTATTTCCTGTCTACTGCAAAGGCATTCTCTGTCATCTTTGATCTATCAGCTGTTGATTATTTGAAGACATGATCAGGTAGTCTCAACGTACACAAAATCTGAATGTAATAATTTCTGCAAATGTTTTGTACTGTGGCTGTAGACTATTAATATGCTTTCTGGAAAAAGACAGTTTCTAGTTGCAAGTAGCAGATGTTGAGGATCTAAGGATGTTGGTTTGGGGATTTTGAAAATAAAAGCTGGGTAGAGCAAGAGAAGTTTGTGGTAGCTTCTGTAGATAATCCACTTAGAGTATTTGGGATTGTTTGCTCTGTACATGACAAGAAAAAAGTTATGACATCATGAGTCAACCTGCAGTTTGTCATAAAACAATGTTTCCCATCTGACGAGAAGTACAGTTATGGTTTGAAAAGTTTTGGAAAAGTGCTTGACACATAGTTTGTGCTTTTTTCCCCAAAGGTATTTGCTTTTTATTGCCTTTGGAATATGGTAATGCATGCACTGTACCAAGGCTTTAGGTTATTTTTGACCTCTAGAAGGCATTAGTAAAACTAAAATTTTCATTTCTCAGTGTGACTGAATTTCAATATATGGGCTGGTTTTGAGCATTTTTTTTTTTTTCTGACACTCTATGATCAGAAAGAACTGGAATCTGAAGACAGGAGCACATTACTGAAAGTTAATCCTAAATTTAGTTTTTGTGGCTTAGTTTTGTGAAGCTGCTTTTATGGGCAAGACAGCTATTTCAAGGACAAAAATAAGGAGAACAAAAAATGTTTCAACTAATGGACACATGCATTGTAGACTTATCTGTTGATTGTGAGTTAAATAATCTTTCATAAAAACAAGTGGTTTGGGTTCAAGGTCAGGTTAAGGGGTTTAGCAATCTAATTTAGCAGATGCTTGCCTTCCCCACAGCAGGGGGCTTGGAACTGAATGAGTTTTAAAGGGACCCTTCTAACCCAAACCACCCTGTGATTCTGTAAGTGTAAATTTTAATGTTCAATATGAATTTAAAATAAGGAAAATTGTGTTGGAGTTACCACAGTGTAATGAGATCAGCATCCAGAGTGTGTTGGGAGTCAGAGGCGTGCTGAGTTTTCTTCCATTGGAAGTCACTATAAGAAGACAATATTGCTGTTGTTTGAACATGGGAAATCTTAGGGCAAGATTAAAAAGCATAGGGGGGATTTTGGTAGAAGTCTTCTCAATTCTTAAGATGCTTATTGGTGGGAGAGACAGGGAGAAACAAATGCAGTTCCTCAAGCTTTTTGTCAGGGAATTTTACATTTGAGTTAGTTCAGTACTTAGAGAACTTTGTCTAAGTCCCTCTAAGAATTCTTCCCTTTAAGAAAAACACAATGAACACACAAAAAAATATGTTAAAAACATCCTTTCATTTTTTTGCCTTTTACTGTCCTGAAATCTGTGTACGTATTTTTAGTCCTATAGCAAGTATTAAGCACAGTTTTTACTCTTTGTGGACACTGTATTTTACTTCTGATCATGGAAAACCATTTGCAAAATCTGAGGCAGAAATAGACTTTTCATTTCTGCAGCCACTGTTAGAAAACAACAGTTGGGGTTTGGGGGGAAAAAAATGGGATATGTGGATTTCTAAAGCTATTTGCTTTAGAACAAGAAAAATAGCTATTTGCTATCAACAAGAAAAATCAATCATATGGTTACACAGCCAGTGATGAAATGCATATTCTAAAATCACTTTTCTATTACCCATATAAGCTCAGAGCACAATAGAAAAGGGTTGTGCTTCCCTCTCCAATAGTATAATTAAATACTTACTCTGCAAATGAAATAATTGTAAATATTAATAAGATACTTATAAAAATACCAGTAACTGTAGCCAGTACAAGCTTAGTTGCTTCTGTCATTCAGTTTGTCTGTTTCTGCTTGATTATTGTTGGATCTTACTGTTCTGTTGAGAGAAGACATTTCCTTTAAATGGGAACTACCTTAAATGAAGTAATAGCAGCATCCCAAAATGAATGTATAAATAATTGTTACTACATCTTCACTGAAGTTAGTTTTAGACAGAACTGTAAGGCAGCTGTTCATTGACATTTTTATAGCCTTTACACAGAGGTTTTCAGACGGTTTCAAATGTCATGTGAGTAAGGATGTGTTTGTTACTTCTGCCTTGTCACAAGAAAGGAGGATGTTGGAGGATGTTACTGTTACCAAATACAGAACATTGGAGAGGTGTTGAGAAACAGTAACAGTGCTGGATTTTGAAAGGCGAGGGAATGTTGGACTATGAAGAGGGAAGTTCTTCAGAAGCCTGTTTTCTGTGGAAAGTTTGCCAGTGCATTGTTTGAGATTATTTTTGTTTTATACAATATAAAATATAGTATGGCATAACAATTATTGTCTTTTTTATGCCATGAAATAGTTATTGAGAGTTAAAAACTTGAACCAAATGTATTTCAGAATATGTTTTTGTTTTTCTTTTTAAGAATTGCATGGTCATTAAGAATTTGGTTTTGCTTTAGTGTGTTGGAAGTTGAGGCAGAGAAGTCATGCCGGGGTCTCTGAAGCTGCTGTGCCACACAGCCACTGATGCAGTTGTTCTGTTTTTTTCTCACTAGTGTGTAGTTGGTGGGTGCAATGCCAGCTTTGCATCTCAGGGAGGACTTGCCCGTCATGTGCCCACACACTTCAGCCAACAGAACTCTTCAAAAGTTGCCAGCCAGCCAAAGGCCAAAGAGGAATCTCCATCTAAAGCTGGAATGAATAAAAGAAGAAAATTGAAGAACAAGAGACGACGATCACTACGTAAGTGTTTCACAGAAGTAGTTCTTGAAAGGTTTGTCTTAGAGCAAAAGTTCCTCCTCAGTCTGGTGGTTTCTCTACATATTTCAGTCTGGTAGGGTTGGCATTCCTTGTGATGGGAAGAAAACAAGTCCAGATTCTGCTTATGTTCCCTTTCAGCGTAAATCTCTTATGTGTCAAGGAGGAAAGATCAGTTTCCTGTGAGCAACAATTGGAGTTGCCAATTGAAAGAAGCTTTTAATTTCAGAGTTGCTTTTTGTTTACTGACTCTGTTGCTGTTGGAAAGGGTTCTGTTTAGTGCTAATGAGATCTGAAGTTCAGACAGAGATTGCAGATTCATATAAATTAGAGATAAATGCATGTTATATAAGCTCTTTTTTGAGCACAACATTTCATTATGTTAATGACAGTTTTATGAGCATAACCAAAATCTAATTTTGGGCAGAATTGACTTGCTATGTTTTTTAAATTTGTCTTCATATTGTTGATGTTCATTAATTTTATATGAACCAATGTGCTGAGAGGTGTGATCTGTCATTTAAAGTGAGAACCATTTCCTCTAGCAAGAAGTAAGCACTTACCCAGTACCTCTTCTAGTCCATTTGGATCTGGTAGTTTGATTCTTGAGTTGTCCTAGTTTTAGACTAATAAAACATCAAATTTCTGCAGAGTTTCTAATCCTCAGGGATAGTTAGGAAAGATTAGGTAATTGTAAAAATATTTTACTTTGGGTTATGATTGCTTTGGTTGCAACTCTCCTGTACCAAACAGATCACTGGCTAATATTAAAGTGTTACTCTGCCACCTGCATTTTAGAAGAGACATTAGAGAAAACATTTGCATTTTTTTCTGCTGGTACATCAACAGCTGAAGAAAAAATGACATGAGTTTTTACTTGTGGTGCAAAATCCATTTCACAGTATTGGAAAGTAGCACAAGTTACCTTTTTTTTAGGTTTTATTCCACAGTTTGATTTCTCCAAAACTCTTCTCTAGCAGAGCTTGTAACTGCATCCATCTTTCTCTTCCTCTGAAGAAATACAGTTACCAGCTATCCAAATGGTACTGCAACAATGGTTTCACATACTAGTGGTCTTAGGTAATTACTCTATCCCATGATTGTGTTTTATTCTTAATACCTCACCTGTGTTTTAAGGAATTTTAAGGAAATTTATGAAGCAGTGGTCATGTTTCTGCCTTGCATGCAGACAAGCATGCCTGGGAAGTTACATTACCCTCTGAAATTCTGAAAAGTTTCCTTAAAAATTCTTATTCTTCTTAAAATATATATGAGCAAATTGTGTATTGTGAAACACATCTTAAAAGTAGAGATTTCAATAATTGCTCTGGTTTTAGTTCAAGATTTAAAGAAATTAGAGAACTTTCTGTTCTTTTTGGAATTTGATTTTCAAAGAGCTTTCCCTTCCACTGTGGAAATCTGTGTAAATGAGAAGGTTTCAGAAGGGAAGGCTGATTGGTGAAGGGTTATGGGCTCACTTTGCACTATCTTTTTGCATTTTAAATGTAATGAGAGAGATATCTTGAGAAAATCGCAGGTTCCTAAAGAATCATTATGATTTGTTGACTGTGTTACTCAAAATACAGGTGTCTGAGACTGGTCACTTGAAAGTTCTCATTTTCAGAAGTTTCTGAGTTGCATGTTAGCTTGCTTCTCTGTATTGATTTTGTTAGGTGGCTGATTTAATGCATCTTAATTAATTTTCACCCCCACTATATGCAGAAGTAGTTTTTCAGGTTGGCATTTTATTAGTAATTGATAAACATCAAATTATATTATTTGACTTACAAATTTGAAATCAGAGCTGCATAATTAAAACTTCAAATCACCTGTTAATATGCTTTAGTTGTAATAAGAATTTGCTGCAGAAGTTATGAATCAATTTATGGCAAAAAAATGGAAATAATAAATATTGTGAGAATGTTAAAGACCAGACTGCAGTATTTGAATGGTTTGCTGTCTTGATCAGGTGTTGGACAGGAAGAAAAATGACAGCTGCTTGAGCAATTTCTTACCTTCTTGCCTCTTGAGACAAATGCAATGCTGGCTGTAGACTTTTGCCTTAAGGCAGAAATCATCTCTAACTGGATTGGGAACTGACTACTGTAATGTATTTCTCCAGAGGGTTTGTGACCCAGAAATGTATCCAAAGTTGATGGCATTTTCTGAAAATGCTGAGTATTGGCAGCTTTCCTTACAAACTTTGTATGGATTATTGTTGGTGAAGTGAACGTGACAAAGGATTGATACAATCTTGCTTGTATTTCTGGTTTTTAGCTTAGTTTTAGTTACAGAATGAAGTGTGCAAGTTTGTGTATTTTGTCTTTACAAGAAGAATGGTGGAAGGCAAAACCCTTATATGAGAAGCCAAAACAACGCAATTAACATCATTAACTATTTTCAGTCTAGAGTATATGAAGCTAAGTACCTAAGAAGGATTTCTATTTAGGTATCTTGTAAGCGCCTAAAAGGAGAGATGTTTAACACATGTACCAGGTTCTCTGCAAGAAGGATTACAAGGACTTAATGATATGGATGTAAAATAAAATGCCATTTAATAGTGGACACACTGTTTAAATTACTTGCAGATAATAATTTGACAAAAGCTGGCAATTTTTCAGCACAAAACAATTCGTCTCTGGAAAAAAATGTTGTCAGTATGGTCTTTCTACCTCATGGTTTTATTAGACCCTGGCTTTTTTAAAGGTGTAAGTGGATTACTAAATATTTATTGATAATTAATGGCCGATATATGCTGTAACTGAAGCACCCTTATGTATAAATTCTTAATAATTTGAGTTCCACAAATGTATACATTTGCTTCCTATGTTTTATATCTGAAGGTAACACCCTTCTGTGAGAGAATGTATAATGAAAAAGGAGATTTTACTGTGGCTGTATGTGATGAGACTACAATCTTCTTAGACTTTTTAAAGATAATTTTTACTGTTACTTAATTGGTTTTTAAGATCTTGTCATTTTAAAGTGTTTTCTTTTGTCCTGTCTTATGTTTTTATGTTCTTGTAAGTTTGAAAATCAGCTATTTATCATAAAAGCTTGTTTTACTGGTGGCACCCTTTTAACTGGTTACATTCATGGTGCTATAGAGATCTTATTTGTCTTAGAAAGTTTGATGTAGAATAATGCAGGATTAGAGTCTGTGGCTTGCTTTCTCTTCTGGGTGGCCTTTTACGTGTTCCCTCATACATGCAGAATGGCATTTAGAACCAAATATATTGAAAGTGTGTACCTGTAAAATAGGTCACAGCATTGCTATTCTAAAGCTGCCTTGACTACAATATTGTCACTTGCTTTTTCATTGCAAAGATGACATTAGTTATTAACAAGCATGATAATTGAGTTCACAAGAGGAACATGAGAGATAAGGAAGCTTACTGTTGATGGAATTTACAGTGAGACTGTTCCTTATATAGGGCTTGGATTTTCATTTGGTGGGTTACTGATGTGATCATGTAATTTATTTGACTGAAGGAACTGATAAGTACTTGGAACTTACATTATTTAGCACGAAGGAAGATACTTAAATCCATTTCCTCAAAATCATTTTGGGGTAAAGATGCATAGAAAATACTAACACTTAAGAATAAATTTAAAAATTCATACACTTTTGAAACATTGTGCCTGTTCTCAGTCTGCTAAATGTTTTCCACTATAAATCCTGGAGAAATTTGCTGCATAAACCTGAAAGCAAAAATTTGTTGGTTTTTTTTTTTCCTTCTTTCCATCCTCCTTCTTTTCTTCCCTCAGATTTATTTATCAAATATTTATATGCTTGCATCACTGAGCACCTGCAGCACGAGCTGTGGTCCTCCATTGCCACTTAGAGTGAGAACACATTGCAGTGAGATGATTGCCTAATTGGCAGTGTCCAACTGAGATGGAGCAGGGACAGAACAGAATGTACACATGAATGCTTACCAACAATCAGCCCCAGGAGTGCAGCAAGTGCTAGCTCCAAGTGGAATTGGTAGTTCATTTTGAAATAATGGATACAGGAATATAGCAGCTGCTTTAAGTGAAGACAGCAGAAGTTTGAATCATTGTGGAGATTTCAGGGTAATACATAGCTGATAATGTAATACCAGTTCCTATTCTTAGTTTTAATTTCAGTGTCTTATGTAGTAAATTGCTGCTTTCAAGTAAGGCTTAAAAATGTGAATATTTTCATTCAGACTTTTCTGATAATGTGACGTAGTTACAGCTTTATATGGTATATTATAAACATTTTCTGTGAACTATTTCTGATACCATGCAAATATTTTCTTAATAGCAATTGTTTTTTAGTTTAAGTACTTTTAGTGTAGAATTGATGGACTTTCTTTTACATCCTAAATCAAAATTCAATATTTTTTTTACTGTTCAAGAAACACTTAACTATAAAAATCCTTTTCTAAAGTGAGAAGGTCTTTATAATGCCTGCTGGTTTTATACTGGTTGTAAAATCTCAGATGGGTGTTGTGCTTTACTCATTATAAATTGAAGGGTAGTATGTGGTGCATGCAGCTTGTGCTTCTTAGGTAAAACTGTTTACTAATAGTCCAAGAACATGGAATGACAACTTGTACATAGAAAGAAGTGTGTAATAGTGTGGAGTTTCTCACCTGACTATTCAGCATTATGGAAACTGAAATGAGTGGATGTGTTTGCATTTTTGGAAATAGCTGTTTCATCCACAGGGAGTGTGTTTTGACCAAACTTGAATTGTGCTCCTCTAGGAATAATTTCTCCCTCTCAGTGAAATTAACGTTTGCAGTTCTCTGACAAGCCAGTGCTGCTGATGTAAGGGGAAACAATTTACTAATGGCACTACAGACCTATTTACATGGTTGAATGTGTTTGAATGCTTTCAGTGTGAGGGACACTGAAGATCTATTTTCCTTTTTTCCAGCAAGACCTCATGACTTCTTTGATGCACAAACACTGGATGCTATAAGACATCGAGCCATCTGCTTTAACCTCTCAGCACATATAGAAAGTTTAGGAAAAGGCCACAGTGTTGTATTTCATAGTACTGTAAGTATATGTATATAAATACACACATGATGCATTCTGGTTTTTTCCCTGTGTGTCTAAAAAAATCTAATCTTTCAGAAGGATTTCTGTTTTCCTCTTACTGCTGTAGACATTTAATCAGAAATAAGCAATAGTGGCTCTTTAGTATTGTTGAATTGTCCACTGTTTTTAGTAAATGAACTTTTAAGAGGGATTGGTGGTAGTTGTTCTAGCTCACAGATTGAGTGGATTGCAGCATTTTCTGTCTGATTCAGTTGAGGAATATCTAACAGCAACATTGTGTTGCAGGAGAAAATTGGTTCTATCTTCTAAATACGAACACAGATCAGATGGCATTTCCATGGTCATAAGTGACATTGGTCATTTATCACAAGAAGTATTTTTGGTATATAATTGAATATGTAAAGATGCTGATCTGAAATACATGTTTATTCCCTTTTTTCTGCAGTTTAAAATATGTAGTCCTGAATAAATTTATTCTCATCTCTGTTTTTTCTTTGACTGAATTTACCACCAAAATATTGGTGAATTGCTGAAAGGAGGCAAGAACCAAGTGGGGAACTTGTGTTTGGATAAGAAAGATATCAGTATTAATTTGGAAGAGCTCAAAGCAGGGATAAAATACTGAATTGGGGTAGAAGGATCAGAATTTTAAAAAGTTGAATACCCTCAGGTTTTCTTAAGCATGTTGGGTGATGAGGGCATGTAAAAGGTGGAGACCTGGCTGAAGAAAAGAAGTAAGAGATGGGACAAAATGGGGAGAGATGGTTTTAAATTGGTAGAATAGTCCAAACAAAGAGTGATGGCTGACACATCTTCAGTTACAGCTTAATCTTAGTATGGGATTCAAACTCTTGAACTATCAGTCTCTTTCCATAAATAAAAGATGATTTTGTGTGCATGAAGCTTACTTCACCTTGTTCTGCAAGACTGAGGATAGTTAAAAATACCTGTTGCCTGTATGGGAAATCTTTTCCAAGCTCTTTCTGCTGAACTTTTTGTACATTGTGCGTCAGCTGCAGGTGGAGATTGCAGGTGGCTTAGCTGTTATTGTATTTAAATCTCATTCTAGTTTCCCTGGCCAACATGGATTTTACAGTGCTGTGAGAAAAGCAGATTCTTTTCCAATTCACAGCTTGCTTTAATCTGAAAGGTTATCCAGGCAGTCTGCTCAGTTGTGGAAGAACAGCTCTGGCTATTGGAATAATTCATAAGGAGGTGGAATTAGAGGGAGGAATCTGCTCTAAAACTGCTTCACATTAACTTGAAGGAAGTGATGAAAATCCTTTTAGCTCATCCATGCATGTGTCACTCGAGATGGTGGGAGTTGATTAGATCTGGAATTGGTTAGACCTCAGTTGTGGGAGAGGTTGTACCAGTGGGAGAGCTGCTCTAGGATTTCAGCCCCATGCTGCACCTGGCTGCTGTATTTTGGGGTACTGGCTTGTGCTGGACATCAGTTTGTTGATGAGACTCAGCCTAAAATCAGCTTTAAAAAGAAAAGGTAGGCAAGGAGCTGTTTTGTGGACTGTTACACTGAGCTAATGGTACCTCAGATACAAACACTTATTTGTTTTGCGTCACTTAAAGGCTTTAGGACATGAGATTTGAATAATGAATGGCTAAACGGCAAAAGTTTGTATATCCACCTTCAGATGAAGGAAAAAATGTGTAATTCTCAGAGACATTAATTGGAAAGGTGGAAAATAGGAAGATGAAATTGCCTGCTGTCTGAAAACAGACATAAATGATGTTGCTTTATTGTTTTACTCGGCATAAGAATAATGTCAGCACAATGCAGTATATTTCAGGGCAGATAATCTAATATAACGAATTTCTAAGCAGTCACTGTTGATACCTTTCATGTTCTCTGAAAAGGCACATCCTTTCATTTATATATACTCTTTTAACACCACCTTTTCTTTGTAGATATGGCGAGATTTAGAATTAATAAAACCTTTTTGAAGAAATGTACTTACCATCCAGAGTACACCTTTGACTTGATTATGATGGGGTTTTTTTCTGCTTGCTTTTTTTTTAATTGAATCAAATTCTTTGTATTTTAGTTCTCTGAATTGTTAGATGAAAAAAGCAAACATGTTTGGTTAAACTAAGGAACAGGTGTTACATTAAATAAAAAATATAACTTATAGGTTATCCTGTCATGCCACCCCCAAACTTTGAAGTGGCTTAAATTAATTCTCTAAAACAGTTGAACACTAAACTGTTCCCTTGTTTTAGCTTTTTTTAGGTGTTTCAGTTCAGTGGCCACATGTGTTTTAACTAGTTACATTGGTTCAATATACCGAAACCTTGTAAGACCATAAATGAATGCAGTGAGATGCCTACCAGTTTACAGTGTGAAATTGTTTTCTTTTTCCAGAAGAGGTCAGCAAAACTCCATGTCTGATTTGAGACCACTTTGATGCACATTTGCTTTGAATTTCCATTTTGTTTCTGGGACAGTGCAGGAAATCTAGAGAGTGTAGTAAGAATATTTCCCAATAAAGCTGTATTAAGTGGACATCTTTGGGCTGAATTGTGGTTTTCACTTAAAAACCTAAGCGGACTTAAGTTCTTTGCAAAACAATTTTAAGTCTTAAGAACATATTTATTGCAGATACACAACTTTCAAGGTGTATAACAGTTTGCTTTCTATGAATGCTTAGTAAGACATGAAGAACAACTTTTGAGTAAAAAAAATCAGTAATTTGGTTTTAATTATGATTTTGTAATTATTATAGGTAATAGCTAAACGAAAAGAAGATTCTGGCAAAATAAAGCTCTTGCTTCATTGGACACCAGAGGACATGTGAGTATATTGCTAGTGATATATTTTAAATGGGGAAGGATTTACAGTGGGATAAATGAACTGTTGCTAAAATTTTGTGCCTTTCAAAATTTGAGTTAAATATTTAAAAAATGCTTTTCAAAAAGTAATTTAGAAGTTTAGAAATTAATAAACACTGAGTTTATTGATTTTCACTTTCACTTTCAAGTCTTTGGGCTCTAATACCAATTCAGTTAAATTTTGCAATTTGCATAAATTTTGCATCATATTTTTAATTAAAATAAATATTTTAATAGTCACAAGTTTCAATTCATGTTGAGAGAATAAAGCTAAAATATTCTTAAAAAATAGGCAGTTTTTTGATTTCTTTTAGGACAGATGGTAGTATATATCTAACAGCATTCTGAAATGATTCTTCTTAACATGTTACAGTTAAAGACAGGTAATTCTATTTTAATATTAATATTAAGAAGTATGCAATACTGGGAACATGTGAAATAAATGGAAGAGTAAATTTTTTATGAATATAGAGTTGAATGATTTTTTTGTTCATGCAGATGAATTCAATATTAGAATCTCTGAATTGGAGAAGACAGGTTGTTCAGTAATGTTAAGACATTCCCAATGGAATTTAGATTTGGTTGCTTGGGTCAGAGGAAAAATATGTTTTAGATTGCTGTTTGTTGCATCTTGGTTAGGTTTAGATAGGTTAGAGTGTGTATTTCAGGCACTGAATGATGTGGTTTTGAATTACTGAGCATTCAGTTCATCTTGATTATTCCATGTAAGCAGAGATGCCAAGGTATCCTGGCACACACCATCAGTCTGTTTTACATTGTCAGGGCACTCACACCTCAGGAAGTGAAATTTACTCAGGGTGATTCCTTTCCACTCCCCTGAGCTGTTCATCAGCCTTCCCCATGGAGCTGGGAGTAGTGATTTAGCTTCTACACTGAGTCCTCTTGAGAACCACACAAGGTCTCCAGGATGTCCATGTATTTAGGATTTTGGTCAGGAAAAGTAAATATAAGTCTTTGTTTCCTCTACAAGAGGGAAATAAGTTCTAGCAGGTTGGGAGGGTCAGGGTTGTTTTCTTGGTTTTGATTTTTGCTAAGAGCAGGAATTTATTTTTGGTGCCAGTAAATCAGCTTACTGACTTGTTGTCTTTCTGTACATTTCAAATGTCTGCATGTGAAAAGTTTTCTTTTTTGCTGTTTGTATCTTGAGCATACAGCTGCTACTGAAAATGTCTTCCCAATGTCGGTTGTTCAAAAACTGATTTTTTGTTTTACTTTAAAAACTTCCATGATGTTTTTCCACCTTTCATGATCCATGAGACTTAGTGAATAAATGGATTGCCTGCTGGGTTGTTCTCCCTCCCCCTATGCCCTGTTGTTTTTAATTTTTTTTCTTCCTCCTTCATCTGAAAGATTTAATTGGAGAAACATTGGAGAAACTCCTTTTCCTGCTGGGTTAGAGGTTCTGGGTTTCATTTCATGTTTTGAATAGCTTACCCAAAAAATGAATTTGAGTTGCAGCTAACTTTCATGCAAAGGGAAATCTTTGCAAAATACAGATTCAGTGAAATAATTTGCAAAAGTCAGTGAAATTTGGCTTTGCAGAGAAAGAGCCATTATATTTAGTTTTAAGTGTTGAGCTTCTCAATTTGAAACCTGTTTCAAAGACTTAGACACCTTAATTGCAAACTCCTCCCCCAACCTGAAGTTATCATTGGCTTCTAGGACATGTAGAAAATTTTTAAAACCCCACCAAAACCCCAAAGAAGAGGATGATCAAACAATTAACTTCAGCAAAGTTGGAGCATTTTGTCTTTGAAACCTTTGAGCTTGGAGCAAGCAAATTAGTGTAAGTCAAAGCTCAGTGCCTGCAGTGTGTCCTGTCCTTTAATTGAACAGAGTCAAAGAATTTCTGCCTAGTAAAATAAATTATTTTCAGAGGTCTGGTTGTTTTTTTCTGTTACCCATTTTTACATTAAATTGTTGCAGTGGAGAATGTAGTGCCATTGTCATTGTACACTTGGAATGTACTTCTGGATTATTCTAAATTCTCTTCAGTGTATTTTCAAACTGTGAACCTGAAAACTTCAAAGCATAATGTGTAAAGATTGGCTGCCTTTCCTCACTCTGGTGAAGATGCTTTTTAACCAGGGAAAGGTGAAATTTGCTTCATATGTACTAGTTTACCACATAATGTTATGGTAAGAAAACAGTTGATATTTTTTGAATATTTTTATTTTATTTATTTATTCATAGTCTGCCTGATGTGTGGGTAAATGAAAGTGAGCGACATCAGTTAAAAACTAAAGTAGTTCATTTATCAAAACTTCCAAAAGATACTGCCTTGCTTCTGGACCCAAACATTTACAGGTAACATCTTCATTTTAAAACTTTCTTTACTTTAATGTAATCTTAAGCCTCACTTAACTTTTTGACGTTGGAAAATCAGGATTGCTAATGTATTATACACCAGATCAGGGAGCCTTGGTACTGTAAACGTCCAGGAGTTAAGTTCTGAGGTCTTAAGTTATTTCAGAATTACTTCTTGAACTAAACTCTAGTGACTGAGAAATGGGGAATGTGTGTATTTACCAAGTGTATTTTACTTTTTTGTGCTTGGTGTACAGAAATTCTAGTAAAGGAGGTACATACAGTGGAATCCTGAAAGATCACTTCTGTTAAGATCACATACTGGTTTGTATACCAATTTTTTTAAAGTCCAAATTTTTCTTTCCATATTATATTCAGCTGTAATACATGCAGTATTACCTTGAAATTTGTACTTGTATTCAAGTACTGTTATTTTTTATTACAAGATTCTTTATAGGGGGACAAAAGGGAACAATCCATGTTAATTGCCTTTAAGCTACTTTCACATTTCTGTTTTTAGGCCCTCAGATTGGCTTCTAATTCATCTGGTTTCTAATAATTTCCTGATTCTCCCCACCCCATTATTACTGCTCTCCCATGATTGTCAGTACCCACAGTTCTGTGTGTACAGTTTTTAAAGGTAATCTGAAATGCTTATCTCATTTTGAAATTTTGAGCATCCATAGATCCATATATGATTATATTAAAAATTTATGAAAATAGCCTGTGGAAAGAAAGTTTGTCATAACAGAAGTTCAGTGTTCCGATGTTTCTTCCTTAACATCCAGTGACTAAGAGTGCCAAGGAGTAAATAAAACACTAATCTGAGGTCTTTGTATGCAATAAGCCTTTCAGTTCACCTTTAATACTCAGTGTATTTCACTAATCAAATTAATGAAACCTTGCTTTACAATATGAAAACCAATCCTACTGTATTTGCTATCTTTGTAAATGTGTTTTAAGTATTTATCTTAGTCCATGAATCATTGCTATTAATGGTAAAATCATAAAAACGTTACTGCGAGATTGGATTGTGTATTTTAAAATTGCTTAACACAATGACTTTTATAATCTAATTGAGGTGTTAATAGTTTTATATTGATTGCCTTTGCTGAGCTTGATGGATTAGTTTGCTTTGAAAAGAAAAGAATAACCTTTTAAAATAAAAATTTAATGATCTCTGAATTAAGCCCTTGGAGAAAAATTAGCAAACCTTTCTATCTCTCCCAAATAAAATTAAGGTCCCCACATGTAATGTTGTACTCTATTTTTAGCAGTATGGATCAGTCTGTGATTGAAATGAACTTTTGGGACCAGCTGAGGGAACTTAATGATGAAATTTAAAAACCAAAGCTTCAAAACCAAACTTTAAAAACCAAAGCCTCTTTTCAAGGGGAAAGAGTAGTTAAAAAATTTAGTGGCAACTATTAACCTCATGGTAAAATGTCATGCTTTAATAGAAACTTGTAAATAATTATCTGAGATGTACACTTTTGTGAGATCATCTGAAATGGCTCTTTGTTTTAATCAGATGAAAGTAGATTTTGTATAGTCATGATTTCATAGTGCATTCAGCTGACCAATGTATCCATCACAGGGTCTTAATGTAAAGCTGTACCATCTTCTTTTACAGAACAATGCCCCAGAAGAGGTTGAAGAGGTAAAAACCAAGCAAGTGGGGACACCTGCAGTCTTAGTCACTGACAATGGATTTAGAAATAAAGTTGCACATTAGTCAAATCCCATCTTTTTTTTTTTTTTTTTTTTTTTTTTTTTTTTTTTTTTTTTTTTTTTTTTTTTTTTTTTTTTTTTTTTTTTTGTTAGAGAAATATTTATGCTTAGTGTAAACATTCTGTGAATGAAGTTGATGCTTCTGTGGAATATATTAATATATTACTGTATATCCACATTTTCATGGAATGGTACAGTGGGAGACTGAGCAAACACTCTTCTGGCAACTTAGTGGAACAACTAAAAGGCTTTGCATGCTTGCTTCTTTAAGCTGCTTTTTTCTTTAGTGAATACAGTAGTCTATATTTGATGAAAAGAGAAAGTAACCATCACCATTTCCTTCCGATTCCCAGGAGAACTGTTAACAAGCTATTTGGCTTCCTGTCAATGTTAACTAAACCTAACACATGCCAGACAATAGAACAGCTACCAAGGGATTATCCTGTTGCCCTTTGAGTATGGTGGATAGTAATCATTCGTCATTTGTGAGCTCGTGTCCTTTTGCAGATCCCTAAAATATGTTGGATTATGGTGTTGAAACAAATGTTGATGGAATGCTTGTCTTTTCCAGTCAACTCTGAATACATATAGTACGGTGGCAGGATGTTCAGAGTGTTGCAGTCTGTCTGACCCCTTTGCAGGAGTAGTGTAATGTGTTCATCAGATCTGCTTTGGTGTGAGCCGTATCAATGGACGGGTTTGGGAAACCTCAGTGTAAGCAGTCAGTGTTACTGGTGATTTATTTTGCTTTTTTGACCCTCTAGGATCCCCATTCACTTGTAAAGTATACTTTATTTGGCCTAATGTTTTCTAGATGTAAAGAAAATGGTATTTTTAAAAAAAAAATTAATCTAGAAATTCAATCCTTTATGCACCAAAGTTGGCTTTGAAAAGGAAAGGTAAATCATTTTCTTGCTTAATAAGCAAGGAGCCGTGGATTTTTTTTAACTGACAAATAGAGATGCGTCTAACCTGTTAGTCTTTGTATGGAGACAAAAATGTTGCATATAGATAATAGGACATTGCTTGTAAATATTTCAGCAGATTTGTAATATATTTTTATATTATGAAATGTACTGTAGATGTTTTTCTAGAGGCATGAAAGTTAAAATGTATATATTACGGTAGAAATAATATTGAAGGATATTGTAATTCACTAGTGCTGCCAGAAGAATTGTTTAAAAAAAGCACCTTCCTTAACAGTAAAAAAAAAACCTTCTTTTAAATACCTAAGGGACTATATACTACTGTTAGTATCTGTTGTAAGAACAAAAATACATTGAACATCCTTCCCAGAAATCTTTGAGGGATGAATAGTACTCATAATTAATTCATGGCACTCCTTTCTAATAGTAAACACAGAATTAGTTTTTTCCTTACTGTCGGAAGGAACTAATATGTAAAATTTGTATGGATATATGCAGTCAAACTGCAGAGTTAGTCCTCCTTATTGGGGAGGAATTTACTACAGTGAAACTAATAACCAGCAGTTTTTACACTAAATTTTTATTAAATAGATTAAGACTTAAAGTTACCCTTTGGTTGCAGAAGTGAGCATATCCTAATGTGATACAAATGCATTCTGCATTGGTACTGACATGAGTCTTGCTTAGCTCCAGTGGGTTAAAAATGTTACTTATATACACAAAAAAATAATCTTATCAATGATATGAAGTGCAGATTAAAAGCACCACTAATATAAGATGTTCTGGAATGGTTGTTTAATAAGGGTATTATTCATAAAATCTGTAGTGATGTGACTTTATTTTTGGAAGAAATGCAGTGTTTTGGTTTTTTATTTTTTTGCTTGAGCACTTCACCTACTGCTTTTTCTGTACCTATAAAGTAATCCGTAATCTTTGTTTCTTTTTTTTTTTGAATTTGTTATAAAATTGCCAAATAGAAGTGTTTCAGATATAGTTTGTATTTGTATTTTTTTAATTTTATTGCTTCATGAGTTTCTTGTAAGTCATTTATAATTGACAGATGATTGTAGACCTTGCCTGAGTATTTTTTCTAATAAAACAAAGCAAACAAACCTCATAAGCTTCAAAAGTGTAAGATTTCAATGGAGTTTTCAAAAACAAATATAAAAACAATGTTGTTTCCTCCGAAAGTTGTAACACACACCTTTTACAGAAGGGGGGAATTAATGGATTCAAGTAATGTGGTGTTCATGTAAAATGTGACTTTTCCTGGGTTTGAGAAAACTATTACCTGGCGTTCTCATGGCAGAGTTTCTGCTTTGGAAGGAAAGATCAGTTAAAATAACAAACATCTGTGAAGAAATGGATACACTGGAGTTAATTAAACTTTGTATAATAGTTGGAAGGTAAGTGAACATTTGGCTGGGTTTTACTTTGTAGTTATGGAAGTGAATTGCTAAAACTATTTATGCTTGAAAGTTATTTGCATTCTGCAAATTTTGGAGTTACTTGGTGGTGTTTTGTTTCAAATGCCGGTCTCTTCTCTAAAGCGCTGCTCCAGTTTTTTGTGTGCCCCGGGCAGATTTCACTTTTGTTGGAATACCAGGTGGGTGGAAGTGCCACTGTGTGCTGGGGGCCATTGGTCATGTTTTTGTTCTGAAAATAATCTTATTCTTACTCTTGAAAAGTATTTTTGAAATACTCGGCCTCTCCCCTCATAAGTAATTTCATGTGCTTTGTGTTGGGATGTTTGGGATGTAACATTTAAAGGTTTCTCCCTGTCTTACTCAAGAACATTTTTTTAATGTTAGGTTTTCCAGACATCTACAGATTACATTCCCTCCCAGCTTGAGTGTTTATTTTCGCTGTAGAGAAATGTCAGCTCCTTGAAAGTAACACTTTTCAGGAGTTGCAGTGCACACAAATATCTGTGTTCAAACTCCCATTCTTTTGGAATGTGTTGGCTTGAATAGTACAGTTTTCTAAAATGGAATAGCAGGATTTTTGAGTGAGGGATTGTGTTTTGGGCTCGAAGACCAGCTCTGCCTGTTGCTTAAGTGGATGGAAATTCTTGTCTGGGAAAACTTGCTGGCATTTGGGCATAGCACACAGCTGATTGATATGAGATCGTACTCTGTTTGCTAAGGCACCCTAATAATCTGTTTACTCAAGACAGAGGAGAAACAAACTAGTATTTTTCTTACACTTACTTTGAATATAATTTTCTCAAGTTACTGTGGGTCTTTCAGATTTTGGCCAAAAGCTGCAATAGGTTGCACTATATTTTTCCTTATAGTCCATGAAGTAATTATATCAAATGGAATTTTAAATTGCATTGCACATTGATTCTGGACTAGCTTCATTTGGAACAAACAGGTGAATTGTGTTCAAACATGCCTTGTTTTTAATAATCAAAATTCAAGTGGTTGATTTCTGTGCCCTTTACCTTTTCAGTACTGTGTATGAATTAATTAGTGCAGAAGATTGGTCTTGTTTAATACTTCAGTCTGAAATTGATGGTTTACTTTCACTTAATGCTTTCCTGCCTTGACATTTTATATTTGTGGGTGAACCTATCCTAAGTATTCCTCTTGTCATATTAACGTATGACAAGTACAACAGAAAAAAATCCTCTAATAGGAAAGTTGGCATTTAAAAAAAAGCAGCTGAATGTATGGCTTCTTTCAGACATTGGTGTTTATTTATTCCAAGCAAACAATATTCTGGTAAACTTTGTTGAATCAACTTTTATTAAAAAATTCTATATTGTTTTGGGGGAGCGGGAAATAAGCACCACCTGCACTACTGCTGTTTGCAACAGAAAATGCTAAAGTTGTTTAATTTGTAATTTCTGAAATTACTTTAAAATAGGTACCGGATCTGACATATAGCAGCTTGCTGTCCTTTCAGGGGTGGTGGCAGGACTGGGAGTTACCTGTTGTTACTCACAGGGCTCCTGGTGCTGAGCTGTCCTCATGGAGTGCCCCAGCCCAGGAGTCAGTGTTACCCTGGGTGCAGACTTGGATAAAGAAGGAAACGCTGCTTGTGAGTTTGGTGGCTGTTGGAAGGTTGAGAATTCATTATACTGTGCTCAGCTCTAGACTGGAAGGAATTGTGGTCTAGAGATTTAAGGCTCACTTCCCCTTCTCTCCCACATACATCCATGCACTTATCTCTGACTCTTACCTAGAGAAGAGTGAAAATCAGGACGTGTCTGATGGCGTAATGTAACTTAGAGTGGACTAAGGAAATGAAGTTCTAAGAGGAAAGACAATAAAATTGTGTTGATTGCATACAAAAAGTGGGCTGTTGGTTGTTGGCCAGTTGTGGATGAATTTAAGTCCTGCAGTTGTTTGTAATGATTAATGTGCCGTGGTTGATACTACATTATTTGTTTTTCCTAATTCTAAAACTGGCTCTTTGAACTTTTGTAAATCCTCCTCGGTAGTAAAACAACAAATACTAAGTAATATGATAAATCTGTTTATTTCTTCCCAAATGAGAGATAATTGCTGATAACATCCGCTTGGCTTGTGTACAGGAGATTTGAGTCCTGTCTGTTGGATGCTGTTCAAAAGAATTGTCAGATTTTAATATCCTTTAGTCTTGGTTATTTGCCTGTGTTTGTAGCCTCAGTGGAGGATGAGAGATCCCCACAATGATTTATTGTGAACAACTGCCTCTGATTTGAGACAGTCAGCAGCTCTCCTGACTAATCTAGGGCTACTGTCTGTCTCAAAGGGTGAGGCTTGGAGAAAAAGATAAACTTGGAGACCTTATGAAATGATAAAAGAATATCCCTGTGGTCAGTTGGCTCAGCTGCCCTGGTTCTGTTGTGGGCACCCCAGCCCACTCCATGGCAGGGCAGCATGGGAAGCTGACAAGTCCTTGACTGAGTGCAAGCTCTGCTGAGCAAAAAGTAAAAAATCTGTGTGATACCAGCATATTTGCATCCTAAATCCAAAACAGTACTGTTCCAGCTACTAGGAAGCAAATGAACTCCATCCCAGCCAATACAAGGAAGGATATAGGACTAGAAATTAAATGCCCCATCCAGACTCTGAGATCTCCTTTTTCTCAATGTCTTTTTTGCTCAGTCATGTTTTTTGGCTTGTTTTGTCCATGAAACATGTCTAAGCTGATGTGGCACAGTGGGATTTCCACAGACATATGGAGTCTGACCAATGCCTCGTTGATTTTAGGAGGGCATTGTTATGGATATTTGACTTGTCTACCTCTGTTCAAATCTCCTGTCTGAAACCCAGATTGTGAAATCAGGGGGAATGGAACGTGATGTTGCTCGTGATTCATTTAAGCCAAGTGCTCAACATGAGCCACTTAAACGTGTCTAGGCACTGAAATATATGTTTAGATTAACATAATTTCAAGGCCAAAATATTAGAAAACGTATTGTTTTGGGAGCAAAGCCTTGGAATGTGAGATTCAAGACTGCCCCTAAGCAATAAAAGCATTTTAAAACAGTTCTAATTTTAAACACTTTGCAGCTTTTACTTCCTAGTGAAAATGAGGCAGGGGGTCAGACCCTGCTTGCTTTTTCTTCTTGTCATAAATATTCTCTCCTAGAGCATGGAAAATAAGTCAATTACACTTAAAACTGTTTATTGCAGAGCAGATGTGCGCATACAGCAACTGTAGCTGAAACCCCAAGTATTTAATTAGCAGTTGCCTGCAGCTGGATTCTTTCTTTTTAAACAAGTGAGGAGGTAGGAAAGCAGAAAAGGATGTCAGGAGACATTCTGCTGACAGTGAGCAAGTTCATGTGTAATTACTTATTAAAAATTCTCCTCTGCCTCCGTCCTCAGAGCCATCATGTGGTATTGCTGCCTTTTCATTGTGCTGTGCAGCCGTCCATGAATTCCATGTCCCCGCTGCCCAGACACCTGTGCTGCCTCAGTCAAGTAACATTTGATGGGGTTCTATGGCCTTAAGAAAGATCTGAAGATAGATCTGAAGGTTTTCTAATAATCCTGTGCTCATCTGGTAGTTTTGTGGTAGCTGTTCCCTCTGCAGTTGTTGAGAGTTTGCCACTGATTTGAAGACTGAAGTTTTATGTTACAGTTAGAGCTCAGAGTGTAGACAGACTTTCCTCATGGGCAGAACTCTGTGGATTTGCTGCTGGAGGTGTCACATAGGCTCTACTGGTCAAATCCATGGTGGTGGTACTTCTTTGTGTGCTTTACATCTCGTTGGCTAGTTACAAATAGCTTTTAAAATGGGCAGTTGCAGATAAATGTTGTGTGTATCTTGTAAAAATTTCAGAGAGCTTGTTTGTGGATAAAATGTGGCCTCTGTCTTAAAATAAGCTGCATTTCTTTTTGTTCAGAAGGGAATTGCTCTGGAGGAAAGGTGCAAACAAAAGCTTACCTTGGCTGATGCCTCAGCTGGGTAATTACTACAAGCTGTACAAACTGCTCACAGTAGTTACTGGTGTATTTATCTCCTTGGACTTTTTTTTTTATTTTTGGCTAAAATATTTGTTAATTTTAATTTTAGAAGGTATTTAATCATTTAATGACTATTACATGCATTCCAGTGGGAGCTGATTTCAGCAGTAGAGGATTCAAAGATATTTTAAGCTGGAAGACAGTAAATATCAAGTAAATACCAAGACATGCAGCCACACACTGTGCAGTTTACAGAAAATACAAATTATGTTCTTGTCCAACCCCACTGTTCTCCCAGGTGCTCAGATCCCACACGTCAGTACATTTCCACTGTGTGTCTGTTTTAGGATCAAATTTAATTTCACAGTGGTCTGTGACCAAGAGGTGGCAGCAGCCTACCACACTAAACTGTGCAGAAATTAATATATTCCTTGGTGCTGAGACTGCTGAAGGTGTTTAGTTGCTTTTCTAAACCATCCTCCTTGTGTGCAGTTTGGTTTGTTGATACAGGATGCAGTTGTGTGTTAATTACTACACCTCTCCTCACTGCTTTTCTCGTTGGTCTGGGTCTCAGATGTTGCAGAGGAGAAGAGAAGCTGCCTTGTCTTTTAATAAAACTGACTCCCAAGGCTGAAAATTCTTGAAAGAACTTATTATCCAAGTACTGAAAGGATTGAACACTGTGCATTTTGTAAAACATGTCTGGGTAATT